ACACACGTAATATAAATGTCCAATGCCGGTCTGTTCTTCCTTTAAGACTGTCTCGAGTAATGTCTTATAAAGATGTTATTACAGCTTTGTAATTGACTTGTGACATCTTGAAGCAGTGAATCTTAAGACGGTCTTAAATATATAACAACCAATATTATGAATACTGGTCTGAGAAAGTTTTTCAGAAGGTTTCAGGAGATTTTCTGACAAAAATTTCTGGCTGAAATTCATGAAACGTTTTTTGGAATAAATTACTAAATTTCAATCAAATTTAATACATTTTCTTGAATCAATTGTTTAACTTTATTATTTTATTTAAATTAACGACATATTATATAAGAAGCAAACTAAAGAAATGCTTCAAAATAACTCATATTGGCTATAATTTATGTTAATTTAATACGCAGTTCAGTTTCATGATTTAGTTTCAAATGAACCCAACAGTAAGTAAAAGTAACATTGTATTAAAATTTCGAACTCGACAATATAAATGTAATGTGACACATAGTATTACGTAATAGTTACATTATTGAGTTCGAAATTATAACATAGATGTTATATTACTTTTAATTGATGTCGACTGCGAATTTAGATAAATCAGAGAATTCACTTCCCGTAAACGTTTATGTCAAAACTTTGAAGTCCGTCTTATTGTCGTTACGTAAGCTATCCAGTATTCCAGTTCTACAACTCTTAACGATAGTGCCAGTATTGTTATATTGTCGTTACGCAGATAAAAAAGCATGTATGGTAAAAAAAGCTTCATAACGACAATGTAACGATATCGAACTGTCGTTATAAAGGGCCGTCTACAATAGGAGTAATATGGTGCATGTAGTCAGTTGTAAGCGCGCGCGCGGTAAGAAATCGACCAACTATAGTTAAATGAGGAGAATAATTGACTATGATTAATCAATTTTTTACAGTTTATAGCTTACTGCATATCATTCCCGTTGTAAACGGCCCATAAAATTCATTTTTCATTGGCGTAAGCGTAATTATAGAATTGTGAAGTTATAAAGTTGTAGTTGTGTGTAAGAATTGACCAATCACGGTCGAATATTCTTTTCAAATTCGACTGTGATTGATCAATTCTTACAACTACAACTACTTAAAATGCTTACTCAATTGTAGAATATACTTTAGGCCCATAGTTGTAAGTGATGTAGTTGTAAAAATTGACTAATTATTATTATTATTATTTATTTATTTTATCGTGTATAGAGAAATTACAAAGCATACACAAATGGTAAGGCACCAGCAGAACTGTTGTTACTAAGCCTCCCAGAAAATGAAACGAATTAGAAATTACAAAGAAATTAGTAGAGTTACAATTCCAGGAAGATAAGCTTCTTGCTTAGTAAATAACTCGATAATTTTAAGAAGGTGGAAGCCAAGAATAATTTGAGCATAATTGCAAAAAAGCATGATTAAAATAATAAACGCAGACTTATTATATAGTAAACGGAGACAATTAAAAAGATCGGAATTAATATAGAAAATACTGACAATTAAAGTAAATAGACTTAAAATTAGTTGATACGAACTTAGTAGCGTGGCAGAGCGAAACGAAGGAATTGAAGGGAAAGAGTGGATGGAAGAGGGTAGCATGTTGTAAAATTTTGTGGCAGTACAGGAAAACGCAGCTTTAAATTTGACTAATCACAGTAGAATATGAGAAAAATATTAAACTGTGATTGGTTGGTCAATTCTTACAACCACTTAAATTATATTTACTCAATTATAGAATGGGCTTAAGAATTATAGACGAGTATACTGCAGACCTTGTACACGAGTTACGCACACAAGTGAACTGCGTGCAGAAAACGCAGCTTTGAATTTGACTAATCACAGTAGAATATGAGAAAAATATTAAACTGTGATTGGTCAATTGTTACAGCCACTTAAACTATATTTACTCAATTATAGAATGGGCTTAAGAATTATAGACGAGTATACTGCAGACCTTGCGTACGAGTTACGCACACAAGTGAAGTGCGTGCACGTGTACACGGCAGCTATGCTTCCGATACGCACACGCGTACGCACATACCAGCAGCACATACGCAGGAATGAACTCCCTGACGGGTGCAGAGCGCGCGCACGCAGTATTCTACTCTCGCCGCGCGAGTAGTCACCCGCGGTCCGCGTCTGCCGTCTTCACGGCAGTCGGCGTGCGTCCACGCTCGGCAGCACGTTATCGTCGCGTTTGCGCGCCGTCTCGCACGTGTACGTATACGTGTGTCGCTTCGCCCGCGACCCGCCGTGTATACGTGTGCATGCGCTCCGACACGAGTGTTATTTATTAGATCAGAGGAAGCCAGTTTGCAGTGACGCACGGAGTACCGGTTGTCAGAGACACACACACACGACAGTGAACACCTCGCATCGGGCTCGCACAACGTAAGAAAACGAAAAGCCTTTCGTTCGTGTGTTCCAAGTTCTTCTTCGTCTGCGTTGCGTTCTCCAACGAGCTTCCTGACAAGTGCCCACTTTTGTATACTCTTATTAGTCTGAGTCTTATTAGTCTATTTTTTCGCTCATTCTCGAGAGGCACGATTCTCGAGAGACGTTTGCGATCCGTCGGACAGATCCGTCGCGGGACCGGAAGCGAGCGACGACGGAAGTTGGAGAACGTAGCGTAAGCGTCGCTTACCATTAGAATCTACGAGTAGCTAAACAACTGATGCGAATTTCTCTTTCGATATTTTGCGCGATAAAATGCGCAAGAAACAATCAGCTTAATTGGTCTCGCCGTTCTCGCATCGCAATTATAATAGATATATACTCGTATATATAAACACGCCGCGGGGGAAATTCCTCTTACATTTAACATGTTTTGTAGATAAGGTTGTTTTGAAGTTTATTAGAGAATTGCGAGTTACGTAAAGATTCTCAGATTGCTCTGCGTAAACCGTTAGACAAATCTGTACACTGTTAGATTCAATATGAAATTGTATCCAATTTGAGTTATTTTTTATCATTTCTATGGAGATCACTGCTCTTATTCAACTCAAAATATGCTAATGTAACTAAAATAATGGAATTAAACAATTTCACTCAAAAAAATGTATATATTAAATTTAGTTTATTATTTGCTCTAAGTGCATACGTTAGAAATGGTTTATTTTCAAACTAACCACAGAAATAGATTGACTTACATTTTGACACACATATGGCAGTAAAAATGACAACGTTATTTAAGTCAAAGGATTGAGTTGCAATCGCTTCTTTAATATATCTAACGGTATATAGGTTTTGTATAAATTAGATATCCGCTATTACAAAATTGATTTGGAAGAATGCCACGCAACGAATACGTTAGGAAATTTTCACCGAGCTCCCACAAGTTTCGGCAACGTGAGAAATATCAGAGTTCGCACGAGTTCATATCGCATTTTAGATTTCTTGTTTTTGTTAAGCATGCGTATCAAACAGATGCATTACAGCGGCAAAGTCTGAAAATACGATTTCATGCTGATAATAGATACAATAGTATTAGTATTATATATTCCAAACGATTCCGAGGTACGAGAAAAATCTCGGGATATTTTTGGTCGAGATATCATAACCATTCGAATGGGAGATTTTCTGCTAAAAGCAAACACAGTGGTAGGTCTGTCACGTTCCCGTGCGGGATTTATACTGTGTTCGCGTGTGTACATATCGAAAATGTGCGCACGTTCCACATCGAGAATATCGCTCCAACACAGACAAACAATAAGCCCATCTATATTATCATCCGTTATACAATCCTCTCATTTCAATTGCATGCTACGAGAAATAGGGTCGGTGAGAGATATCATGATGTAAAACTTTTATGCTTTTAATTGCATTTTTATTTTACAAAGAGGCAAAGAGGATAAAGAAACGAGAAAATATTTTAATCCTTCACGTCCTGTTACTTCTCGTATTAATTATGTCAATCTTGCGTTCGTACAAATATTCTTTTGTCGAGCCAATTAACCTTTCATCTGCAATGTGGATTCTTTGTCCAACCCAAGTTTTTTTTTCTATTCTATACTATTATATTTATAATGTCAAATTATACGCAATTTGATTTATTTTAATCATTTTTGTAGCCATCACTGCTCTTATTCAACATGTCATTAATTTAATTAAAACGATGGAGTTAAACAGTTTAATTCAAGGAAATATTAAATTTTACTGAAATTTAGTTTATTAAGTGCACATGTTAAAATATGAACGTTATTAATAGGGACTTTCAAATTAACCATAGATATGGATTGATTTACATTTTAACCCCGCATGAAAGTTAGAAATAACAAAATATTATTTTAACCCAAGGGAACCATTGCTTCTTTAATAGTGTCGACTTTCAAAAAAAAATGTGGAAAAATTCAGAGTTACTTTCCAACATCTCTCTATTACGTTACCAAATAGTTTTTTAATTTAAATGTTAAAACCTTTGTTTAATAAAAATTGAAATTTGAGCAAAAATAAAAAAATTTGAAAATAAAATTTCACTTGTGCCAAAAAAGATCCAAATTGCGAACGGAGGGTTAAAAAAAAAGATGTTATTTACGTTTTATCATAAATCGTCGCAAACGTATTCATTTTTGGTTCAATCCATATTTTCATAGTAGAATAGTAGAATATAAAAGTGTCTTTGTCGCTCGCGAAGAATATAAATGGCTGAATTATTTTAATGTTATTTTCGTACTGAAGAGAGATAATTCCACCGATAAGAGCAATCATAAGAGCTTTTGATTTATATCGAGTGTCTAGTATTCGACAGTACCAATCGGCCAGTCTTTTTTTTACCGCTGACTACATAACAAGCGGATCGTTGCAATTAAGAAAGCCATCGCACGTAATTACGTCTGATCAGATAACAGCGTCAAAGATTCATTTACTGTCAGCGACGGCTTTGTGCGGCGGCCTTTTGCTGCATCATTAAAACTCTAGACACGAAGCCATCGACTGACCGTGGGTTTTCCTTCCGCTCTGTGACCTCTGGTTTTCCTGGTTTTCTCCAGTGAGTTCCAAGTTCGAGGCGAGTCCATCCGCGTTGCGAAGGACCTCGCAATTCCTCGCGAAGTTGCCGACAGGGCGATTCCGGCGCAAGATTCTCGAAGAGAAGAACAAAAGGAGCCATTATCACGACAAGAAGCTAAGGAGGACGCGAGGGAGGCGCGTGGTTATGAGCAGACGACCCTTTCGCGGGAGAAACGCTCGCCGTTGTTGGAGGAAGCGATTTGTAAGCACGAGGAGGATCTGATCTGCAAGGAGCACTCGCTCGAGTATCAAAGTCAAACGCTCGAGAGCCAATCGGATCATTTGTTTCACGAGATATTTACCTCCTCGTTAGAGGACCTGCCTGAGGAAGTACCCGAGAGTTGGACCCGCGAAGTTTACTACGAGGAAAGTCTCGACGGGATCCAGCACAGCTTCAAAGAAACGCAGTATTCGCCCAAGGAGAAACGCGATGTACAAACGCAGACTGTACAGGAGTCCAAGAGTACGCAGTGCAGCCCTGAACAGAGTGTGACAAGTCCGTGCGAGGAGCTACCCAGGATCAGCCCCTTCCACATCGGCCAGAGGTATTTCCAGAGTCCCAGACGGGAAGTACAAACACAGACTCAGGGCGAGAATAAAAGCGTTCAGTGCTCGTTGGATGATCTGGGTGATCTGACGAGAGGCGACGCTGCAGATCAGACGCAGGAGTCGAAGAGCATTCAATGCATCCCGGAGGACATCTCTACGAGAACGTCCGTTAGGTCGAGATCCTCTTCCCGAGAAGACATTCTGCGTAGTCCGCGGCGTGAGGTCGAGGTACAGACCTACCAGGAATCGAAGGCGATCCAATGCAGCGACGACGAGCTGCTCGAGGCTGATCAAGCGAGCGCCGATCGTCCGGAGCACGCGCATCAGAGTAGACCAGCCAGCTCGATCTCTAGGAAGACTGAGAGCTCGCCTTCGTCGAGCTCGAGTTCGCCACGCAAGTTTCCGACTGTCGTCTTCGTGGAGGGAACAGGGGATATGACCGTCACACACAGGGAGCACGATGGCGACGTCACCTGGTCGAAGCACTGGGGTCCCGAGAGACTGGTGGAGATATACAGAGAGCCGAAGACCAGCCTAGGACTCAGCATCGTTGGTGGAAAGGTACGATATAGTTTAAAGGTGCGATCTGGCAGTATATACAGGGTAATAAAAAGGTTTCGCTACAAAGTTTTGTTTGTGTGCATCAAATCGTTGGTAACGTATGTTTATAAATAAAACAAACTCTGGAATGTCATCAATCATGTTTGTTTTTTTAAAATACCACGTGAGTGTATATTTGAAGATAAACACACAAAACTTTGTCATACAAACTTTTTGTGTATATTGTTATTACTTTCAAATGACAATGAAATATAATTTTAAAAAATGGATATTAAGTAGCGGTTTTCAACATTTTTTTGGTTAACATTTTCTAATTATGGCATCACATTAATTTTCTTGTTATAACGTTACTTGTAACGGCTCCATTATGGGGATTGATCTAATTAAATCTAATTTAAAATATGAGCGAATATCGCACGTAGTCGCGAGATTTATTTTTACAAATTATTAAGATTCGATCAATGCAAAGACGGACAATCTTGAATTATAAGTATATCCTTTATTTAATATCTTCCAACTATGACGTTGCATTTCTCTTGCTACATTACTTATAATTGCTCTATTATGGGGCTTGATCTATTTAAATCTAATTTACAATATGAGCGAAGATCGCATATGGTTACGAGGTTTATTTTTACAAATTCCCGAGATTCAATCGATGCAAAGAGCGATAATCCTGAATTATTATATACGTTCTCTCGCGCGCAGTTATCCAGCCACAATTTTTCGTATTCCTTTTATTAGCGCGCAACGAATATAGCTGCCAGCAGACAAGTGTTGGCCCCGTCGATATCGCCCTTGATATTTTATAGCTCGCCTTTAAAATCGGGAATGCAACGACGGAGCTATTGAAACATTTGGAAACAGAGTTGAAGTCGAAGTAGGTCGGGCCAGATGGCCGTCGGTAGACGAACGTCTTGATGGATCTATCTCGCGCCGGATAATTCATCTGTAATTCAATAATTCGGCCCAATAATTAATGCTGGATTTTAACAAGTAATAAACTACCACGTGCACGCGCTCATGGCGGGCTTCAAACATGAATTTAATTGATTCGACCCTGCGATCCCGCGAATAAATTCCTCATGTGCGACACGGGTTAAATGCTTTTTATTGATCGCCACCGAGCGATGCGAATCAGGACTGCTAGTTTGACGAATAGAATTTAATCAATTAACTCTTTATCGATGCACACTGAGCCATATCGGTGATACGAGTTGCGTGTGCTCAGTTGAAATGCATTAGCGCGCAGCCGAGTTTTTCGACATTAAACCGGCAAGAAGGTATAATAGGATCATCGGCTTTGGTTTTAACAAGCTCGTGGTTGCCTTAAAAGCTCTTCAAAATTACATTTTACACAAATTATTGTATTATCCGACTGGGTATTTAGGTATAACATGACTCTGTATCCAATTAAACTGTATAATTATTTGTATAACTACCTCCATGCAGTTACAGAGAAATAATTGATTTTGGACACGAGGATTGAGTGCGAAGATTATAATCCACCGATAAATAATGTAGTTAAAATAGAATTTGCTACTAATTTAATGAAGAAATACGTTTGTTTCTCTACTCGCGAGTGGGGAGGAAGGAAAAACGCAATGGATTATTCAACACACACGCTGAATTGTAATGCTAAATAATTGCTTTAATTGGATTAGCCAATGACGATGCGGTAACAAATCAATGGAAGATTAATGAGAATAAATGATCGAGAGGAAATTGAAGCGGGGGGGGGGGGG